ATAGCACTCGATGACCTTACCTTCTTTATTATTGATAGGTTTTCGAGATTACCAGTAAATCAGTTGAGTTGGGAAGCAAAGCTATATGAAATGCAATGGAAACGTCGGCTCTACTCATATTATTGTGGGAAAATTCAACTACAAGTCCAACATCACCTTAAACGAAATAGAGCGAACACAACTCATATATATATGATTTACTGGTAGTCTCGAAAACCTACTCAATAACGAAAAAAGTAATGTCGTCGATTGCTATGGAAATTATAAGTTTGTTTCATCGACAATCCCAACATAGAATATGATATGGAAAATGCCTAACCTTCCTTGAAATTTGCATCTTCCCTGTGGCCTAAGGGCACTCGTGGCAATGGGGCGCAGTGATTAACCTGTCGAAATAGTCTCGAAAACCTACTCAATAACGATAAAATAATTAGGTCAACTAAGTTACCGGTTTGCTAACTTCACGAGACCTTCTTTTAGCAATAATGTTTAACAACTCTGTCACTGCCGGTAATATTGTTTATACTTTGTCCACATTTTGTTCAGGTAGTGTGAATTCTACATTTCATTATTTTATCCGCATATCTACAAGGGTATACATAACTCAATTATTATGTACGGGACGAATAGGCGAATTGGTATTGCGAAAATATAATTTTAATTCATATTTACTTTTAGTAGTATATATAATCCAATAAAAATTAATTGACCAGACTAAATCTTAAGTTCATTTACTTCATTCAATGTTGGCTAAATGTATTTTTCAATGTATAACATCACCACTTGTTTAATTGCCCATTGTGTGCTATTTTTTAATCCGTTTGAGTTAGTAACTGCTTTTTCGTCTAATATTTTCAATCACTGATGAAGTGTTTTGCTTTAAAATGTTAGTACATTTAAATATTTGATGCTACTCTTTGAAGGTACCGATTTTTTACACTTGGGCTTTCCTTAGACTCGTCGTACGAATTACTCGCTTGTCCATTTAATTTTCTGAATTATTTTTTGACTATGTTTACCTTCTCTCAAATGGACCCTCTAACCCAAACTTCAATTAATTTTCAATGTGGGTTTAAATTATACAATCTTTAAGCCGTGGTTATTTACTCGCATACTGTTACTGTTTCTTCCCTGCATCTCTCCTATAGGCCTTGCGGAACAACTTGGCCTTAGTGTATGCATGCCACATACACAGTTTCGACTTCTAAAAGCCGCAGCCGAAGGAGGCTGTGAGATCGCCAACCGCCTCTTTGCGCGTGTATGGCAGTCAGAGGCGTTAATAAAGAAACCTCAAGTCGCATCTGCAGCCGTATCCAGCCAAAAAAAGCCGACCGGAAAAAAGAATATTTCGGCAAAAATACTGCAGGCTGATGATCTACCTAGGCATAGTCCCTCTCAGCCTACACAGCCTGCCAGATTTGCCAAAAAATTGGATATCAAACCTTTAAGGACTAATTCGAAGAAAGAAGACTCTCAGGATACAAATTACGAAGGCCTTTCACATCGATCTAGCCTTTGCCACACTAGTTTTCCTCTCACTCATCTCCCAGAAATTGCCATCCAAGACTTCTCCAGCCACGGGCCAATGGACCTTATGCTCAACCAGCCTCACCCTAATGATGCTGATTGGCTAGACCAGTTTTTGGAGGATGGAATTATGAATACTGGTGATAAATGTAGCAGAGCGGTCACCTTTTCTTGCAGCAATGAGATTAAGACACTCCATCCTGGTCTGGTAAACGAGTCTCGATTGTCCAAGCCAGCTCATCTTATCTCAAACTCTGCGTCTCAGATCACTACAGTCTTGAAATCAGAATATTCGCACGTTGACGAGGGAATTGATCAAATAATTACCCAGGTCCTCAAAAACGGTGCCAAAGAGGTGGAGGAAACTGGAATGCATCGGAAAGATTACACTATAACGCTGCATCAACCACTCGTGTCCCAGGTTGAACAGACCGTCTACACTCGGCCTAAATTTCCTCTGCTGTTGCCAATCTGGGAACCAGAACAGGAAGAGCCATCCATAGGTGGCCCGAGGAGATTGCATATTCTACCGATGTCGAAGATTCGACCTGATATGTTACTTGCCTATGCAAAAGAGCTGCTCTCTAGCCCGAATATGAAGAGCAAGGGAAATATTGGTATGCTGGAGTACCTTTCTTTTATTTTGAAGAAGTGTAACATTGACTTGAAATATCAAAGCACTATCACAACTTAGACAGTGACAAAAAATCCCCGTCGTTTTTGCAAAGAGCAGGCATATGAATGTATGATTTTTGGTGAACCCAATATTATTTAAATTATTCTCCTTATTTTATCGTTAGGAGTTCAGTAATAGTGCATTTATTGCTTATTAACGAAGCGATTACGCTCCGGTGGATTACCGCAAATGGTCTTAACTGATCTACACGCAACTAAAGGCACCCAGTGTATCTATCCTTTAATTCTTTCTTCCTGAATCAGTATAAATTAAAATTTGTTTGTTTACTTTCCGGCAACTTTATCTTACTAAGATATGCCTCTCATCTAAAGCACTTTATACTCTGTGTTCGTTTGCCTTGGTCACTGCGAAAAGGAACTTAAGGAAATATCCTTTCTATCTAATAATTACATAGATTATTTAGCACTAGTTAATAGTTTTCAATATTTAGAAATCGCCATGTCTGGGAAATGATAGCCTTTTATATTAAAGGCATTAACCTACTCAATTTCTTAAATGAACTCGCAAACCATACGCAGACACACTATTTTCTCCCATGTGACCCTGCTTGTTCGGCGGTTTACGCGGTTCAGCATCCTTTCTTCATTGGTGACCGTCTGGATTGTGTAAAGAAACAATCCTGAATTCGAACTGCCTGCTGCATGTCCTATAGCTCCTATGACGATTCTTTCCTTCCTGACTGGTCGAAGATCCTGTGTTTCTGGAGAGTACACGTTTGAAGTCAGTCTTTGACTTAAGATGCTTGGTTAGGTTCACAGTGCTCTTCTTTTCAAAGCATTCTTTACTTTCGCATTCTACAGCTCCTCTCCTGGTTATACACTTATTGGATAGAACGTGTCATTATGACTGACATACAACCATGTTCCCGCGTAGCCCTAAAAAGATGATATATTCATTTTCTACATTTGTGTTGCCTGTATAAAAAAAGATTTTTAGGTTTCACACTTTGGTATCATATTTGCATTTGAGTTCAGTCCTTGGGCAGTGGTGCTGTGTACAACATTGAATTGACGCTTTGTAGTGGATGAGCAGGACATGTTTATAATATTTTTAAAAGGCTTTGGGGGGCTTTCCTGAACTAAAGTACTGGTTTTTAATTTTTAACTTATCGCAATCTAATTTGATGAGTTTAATAATTGAAAATGTATATTTTCCTTAGCAAGGGGATTGTTTTCATTCCCTGTTTCATAGCTCTAAGGACATGTTGTTATCATAAAATAACAAACAACCTTTTATATCTATTATTACGCTCGTCACTGCATCTTACCTTCATTTTCATCCTTGCCTAACCATTCCTTATTTACAGGAGTGAGTCATTAGGGAAACTTTGGTTCGGGATCGAGCTTTGGGCAGCACAATCAGGCTTTCCTGTTCATGTAAAAGTAGAATCACTTGACTTATTCAGGAAGAAGGAAGCTTCATCTCAAAATACTTCATTGTAACTGTATCATACAAGAACAGTGATTGTATTGAATGACGTTAACTTGAAGGTTTAAGAGGTTTTCAAATGCAACCCACTATAATGTAAACAATTTTTGAACAAGTTTATGCTTAGACGCAGATTACTATTTAACTGATAACGGTGATTTTAGTCGAAACTGCGCGACTAATTTAAATTCAATAGTTATCAAGTCTTAAAATGACGGGCTAAGTAACAAAAATGGGGTGCATTCATTCTATTTCGCTTAAAGTGGTAAGGGGACTGGTAGTTGAATTTTTCCACAATGAAATTAAAAGACCTTTCGTTTCCATTGAATCTCGCATAGTCCTGCTTTCCCCGAAGCTATTCTCATCCAAGGTGGACTGCAGCTTCGACCTGGCCTAAATTTCGTCAACACCCCCAGCCGAACGAAATAAAGTGAATGACTTATTATATATGATTTAGTAGTAGTCGTGGAAACCTACTTCCAAACGAAAAATAAATAATGTTGTCGAGTGCTATAGCAAATACAACTTTGCTTCATCGGTTAGCCCATCGAAAATCTGATATTGAAGGCACCTGGCCTTCCTTGAAATTCACAGTGGCCCTGTTACCCAAGGGTACTCATGGCAATGTGGCGTAGTGGTTAACGTGTCGAGGTAATATGCTACACGATCATGCTTCGAGTCCCGCTGGAGGTGTTGATAAGACTTAGGCGATGTCGAAACCGCGGTCCACTCTGGATGATAATACTTTTTGGGAATGCAAGGCTATGTGAAATTCAATCATTGTGGGAAAATTCAATTATCAGTTTTCTTGTCACCCTAAGCTAAACAGGATGAATGCATCTCACATAATTAGTTGGTTTTATTGTATTTGCCTATTTCTTAATGGTCTAAATATTATCATAATCTACTTGCCCCAACCAAAGGGTTACTCGGATTCGGGTAAAGCAGTGGAATTTAAATTGATAATGTATCTTCCTTTTTGATTCCCGACTCTCAAGGGTTTAAAACAATAACAACTTATAAATTATCAACATCATGGTTTGATTTAGCTAATCAAAGCGCCAGATGAATCTCTGCATGACCTCGTTCTTCCCCTGAATTTGTTTTGAACGTCCCATCCTTCGCCTTTGCCAGCGACAACTTGGGCATTCTGGAGCTATCACCGACGGACACTACCATTCTCGATTGCCAAATTTAGACCATATCTGTTTTCGATCTCTCAAGTTCGAATTATTTTATGTAGTAGGCAATCAACCATGAGTCATTTACGCTTGCGCAGAAACGTTTATAAAAAAATTGGATGTATAGAGATGTTCATATGTCATGTTTTTATAAGTATTACGAAGTTCGTGTTGAAATTGTTTTGTGAAATTGCGTTTGTAGACTTCAATGTAACCTCTTTCATAGTGCATTATAAAATTTGGAGTATACGTGAACGTTTCACAAACTTTTAACTGATTGAATCAGTTGTAATAATTGAATCACTTATTGAACTTTCCTGACACTTCTTTTCTATCCACTGCAAAGCATCTGTTTCATACACTTCAAAACATTTGAGCGTCAAAGGACGAAAGATTAAAT